CGGTGTGGTTGGCGCAGGATAGAGCAGGGTTTAGAGCTGTTGTGCATAGGGTCGCTATGAGTCGGAAACGACTCGATGGCACATAACAACAACAAGTTTTGGAGGATGGAACCACTATGAAAGATCTAACATGGGAGACGTGTGGCCTGCATGCCCTGGAAGTGTTAGCATGGTTTCCCCCCATTCTTCAGTGTTTCTCTTACTCTGGGGAAGAGTTAGACCCTAAAGCGCACGTAAAGGATTCTGTTTGCCTGCTGTCTACCCCCTCTGCCTGAGGGCCTCTGACAATCGCATCTGGGTGGAACAGTCTAATTGACAGAGTGAGTTAATACACAGGGAGTTCACTTCTCAAGCACTTTGCACAGGGCACAGTGACTTGATCTTCTAAGTGTGCATCAGGCCCCTGACCTGGGTCACCAGCTTTCTTCTGGAACCCCTGGTCCTGGGCTAGACAAGGGGCAGGGGACATTTGGCGAGCCATTGCTGTGCACCAGCACCTTGAGGTAAGCCTGGGGGGAAAAACGGAAGGGAGAAACTCTGTCAGCTGAACTCTCTCCACAGGGGAATGGAGATTCCAGGGTACACGTTTTTAATAAGTAAGTGTGTGCTTATAATACCAAACACACATGCTTTGTTGAGGAGGCAATGTGTTTATCTGTGGTGATCACAGGTGGCCTAAGCGATCAATACACTGAGCTGTGAACCAAACGTTAGAGGTTCATATCCATCCAAAGCAACCTCAGAAGAATGACTTGACAGTTTACTTCTGAAAAACCAGTTCTTGAAACCCCTGAGGTGTATCTCTAAAGAGCCCTGGCAGGGCAGTGTATTAGGCTGCAGACTAAAAGGTTGGCAGTTCCAGTCCACCAGGCTCTGCATAAGAGGAAAGTGAGCCATCTCTGCCCGCAGTGGCCGAGTCAGAACCAGCTCACCAGTCGTGGGGTGGGTTGGGTTTGTGGAATCTTTGCTCATGGCGAGGGGAAGAGAAATAAGGAAACAAAACCTCAGAAGAAAGTCACCTACAGGACTAAGAGTTACATGAACCGCTGTCTTACCCACCAGAACACCAGAACAAGGAGGAGCCAGCTGTCGCCACTGACCATTCTCACCAAATCCATGGTAGCTACAGCCTGGTAGAATGGAAGGGAAATACAGACCAGAAATCAAATTCTTTTTAAAAATTAAGACTTTTAGGACCATTTGAGACTAGCAGACTCCCCAATTGCTGTGACCCCCGGATCCTCCAAACCAGAATTGTCCCTTAAAGTCATCTTTTCCCTAGATAACAGAGCCACTTTGAAACCAGGGACTGTCATCTGTGAGTACTCAGCTGCTTTAAAAAAAAAAAACTACCAATATAAATAAATAAATGAAAATAAACCATCTGTATGCAGCCAGGTGATCCAGAATTACTCTAGAGCAGAGAAACCAGTCTGAACATGTGGCATCCAGAGCGGAGTGAATGAGATTGATGGTGTGTGTGGAAAACATGACCATCTCACTGAAGCATGCATGTGGAAGATAGGCAAATGGAAACCTAATTTGCTGTGTAAACTTCCACCTTATAAACCAGGAAATATTACCTTTTTTTTGCTAAAAATCTGTTTATACTTGAAAGTGTAAAAATTTGAGTTTGGTTTTGGCAGGCTTCTGGGGATAACACACTCCAGACTGTTATGAAGAAATAAACAACTCAGAGCCAGTACACAAAAGCTGGCGTTGGCTCTTTTGCATAACAAATAGTGATAATTGGAGCAGGAACTCAAATTGTAATTTGTAAGTATGTATTATCTTCCTTTATTTTTTTAACTTATAAAGAAGCTTTAATTTGTTGATAGTTTCTCTGAAAAAAAGATAATAAAAATCATCTCTTCAGAAACCTGTCAAGGAAAAGTTTCTAAACTTTCTTTTAGGTTTCCATTCATTCATTGTTGCACTTTTCTCCCTGCCCCCCCCAATTCTCTCCTCTCCTTGAAAAGTAAAAGAAAAACTCTTTCATTGTTATGCAATCCCTCCCCCCAAGATCATTCCACTGTGAAGCCTTCATTCTGGACTCCTGTACAATAGTACCTAGTCATATATCCCTTTTAAACAGTTCTCTCCCTTATCTGTTTCAATGCAGTATACATCGTTCTCATGCTCTTTCTCAGTCTTCCCTCAACCCCAGTGTCAGTCCTGCTTTACAACAGTGGCCCTATGCAATATTTATCCTTTTGTGACTGAGATATTTCACTCAGCATAATGTCTTCCAGGGTCACCCATTTTGTATAATATTTCATGAGGAAATAAATGAGAACAGCTGGTGGAGAATTACCTGCTGTGACACGCACGGGGCTGCCATGGTTCCGAATCCGTGGCAGCTGGATGGCTTTGGTGTGTGTGCGTGATTCTTATGGGCCCAGTGACCCCAGCAGTGATGAGATGGAGATTGTGAGGATGGGACAGGACAGGACAGGGCTTCTCTCTGCTGTCGTAGGGCTGTGAGGAGTCAAAGTCAGCTCAGCAGCACCTAAGAGCAACAGCAGTAACCCATGCCACAGTGGCAGGCAGTCACACAGCACATCGGTCAGTCTGTGGCTTCCTGGTGCCCTCTGTGTGCTGTCTGCATCCATTCTGGGCCAGCATCGCTTACCTCAGAGGACAGTTTTGACATGTCCCCATCCCCACGTCTGCACAGCCCCCCCTCCCCCAGACTGGGCACGGCCTTGGTGATGGCCCTTCGCATGCATAGCCTGTCCTCGGGGCTCCTCCACTGGCCACTGGCCACATCCTCACTGGCCCTCGCTGACCGATGCTCTTTTCCTCTAGGTGTCCCAGGCAGCGGCCGACCTGCTGGCCTACTGTGAAGCCCACATGCGGGAAGACCCCCTCCTCATCCCAGTGCCCGTATCGGAAAACCCCTTCCGAGAGAAGAAGTTCTTCTGCACCATCCTCTGACTCTGTGCCATGGTTCCCAGTCCCCGCAGGGACCCTCCTGGAGACCACATGCTCTGACCGTACAGAGACACACCGCGCCCACCCAGGCTTACCTGGCCCCTCACTTGTTCTGTTGCCTTGCATTCCACTTCGTGTGCACCTGGTTTCTTTATTGGTAAAGAAGATAGACACTTTTATAACCAAATAACCAGTGAATCAAGGAAAAAGAAGGGTGGCTTTTCAGGCATTGAACGTTTGAATCGTCAGTTTCCCAGGGCATCGAGTCAGTATGTCTCAGTGGGTCATTTATTGGACGCTGTGTCCAGGGCTCACCTACTCACTCACCCTCTCACTGCGTTGAGTCAGGAGTGGACTGACCATCTCTCTGCCGTGGAGCAGGTGGTGGATTCGAACTGCCAGAGAGGGGCCACCTTTAGATTGTCAGCACAAGTCCCTATGGGCCACACCCCTAGAGCTCCCTAAGATTCTCCCATGTGCAGTAATTTCACATCAAATTAGGGCATTTTGAGAAATACAGATATGTGGGAGAAGTTTCCATATCTCGGCCTGGACAGTCTTCTTACCTCTGTCCCTCCTCCCTGCTCACCCACCACCGTATTAGAAGATGATCCAGGAGACTGGAATGCATTCCCAGTGTCGCTCTCCCTGGGACTGTGTTCCAGCCCCTGCTGGGGAGCCTTTGCTTTTTGTCACAAACTCTTTGGCAGGTGGTCCTCCTACAGCTGGAGATAAGTGTCCTGCTGGAGCGAGTCGTGTGGTATCGGCTTGCTAAGTGCTGGATGCTGGGCTGAGCAGTCACTGTGTGCGCATGCGTTCATTCCTCCAGCCGCCCAAGAGTGCCTGCCTGCTTCAGCGGTAAACGGGCGGAGCTTAAGTAACTGAGGCACAGAGAGATCAAGTCCTTTGTCCAAGATTATTTTCATAAATAGCAACAGTGGGGCCCTGAGTCCTCTCTCTCAGGGTAAACCCTGAGCTGTGCTGTCTTCACTTACCTGGCAGGTCCAACTGCGGACGACCTGACCCGCACGCTGTGGTGCAGACACCTGTCACACACCGTCCGTGGTCCGCTGGCTGCGCATGTCTCACCTGTGCAGACCTGTTGTTTGTTGTTGTTGTTATGTGCC